CCCCGCCCCGCCCCGCCCCGGCCCGTCCTGGCGTGGAGCCATGCCCGCAGCGCCGACGCCGACGTGCAGCACGGCCCACAGCCCGGGCTCGATGGCCCCGCCTTCGGGTGTGCCCGACGACGCGCCCCGCCCGGGCCAACGTGCCACGTGAAGGGGCATTCGCCCGGGCCCAACGCGGGCCCAACGTGCCCACAGGAAAATGGCCCCAACCTCGAGCGAGAGGGGGCCCCGTGCGCCTGCGCGCCATGCCACAAGTGTGGTCCTGCCCGGGCCCACTTTTCCGCGGGCCCGAACGCCTGGCCGGCCCTTGCGATCGGCCGACCGCTCGACCACCCCATCGGGAGCATGCAGCCCCGGCCCTGCGCCGGCGCCCCGGGCGTGCTGGCTTGTGCCCGCCGGGTCGGGATGCCCGCATGATGCTCCCCCCCCCCCCTCCCACAAAAAACTTCACAGCGCCCCCCAGCACACAGCCGGGTGCCGCAGCCCTGGAGAGCATCCGTCGGCCGCGGGCTCCCCCTCCCCGGGCTGCACGAGCCCCCTCGGGGCCGGTTCCGCTACAGGCCCCGGAGCTATGTTGTGGGTGCCAGGCCGCCGGGGCATGTCCCACCCGATCCGGCATGCATGCCACGCCCAGGCCGGGCCCGCACACGCAGGTCGGCCCCTTCGCCAGGTCACACACACACAAACACACGCTTCCAGGGGGGCGGGGAGGGGGGGCATCGGCCAACGGCGGCCTTCTTGCCAGTGCTCCCTTCGCCGGTGGGGCCTCCGCCGGGCACACCGCGCTCCGTCCGACCCTCCCCCTGTTGGCTCTTCGTTCCGTGGCGACCGATCGTCCTGCGTCCGCCCCCCGCATGCCCAATGGGCGCTCTGGGGGGAGGAAAAAAAGAAGGCAGCTCCTGTCCACGCTACAGGCCGGCTCCGGGGCCCGCCTCACCGCCTGGCGGCCGGCCAAAGCCCAGCAGCCAGGTCGGGCCCGCCGGATCCGAACAATGGTCGGCGCCCTGTCCTTGGCCAAAGGCTGCCGCGCCGGACATCTGCCCCGCCCCCTGGCGACATCGCGCACGCGCCCGGCGATGGCGCTGGGCGCGGATGCGGACTTGCCGCCACATCCCGCTCTGGGGGTCTTTTTCTCGATCCCCCTGGCCGGCCACTGGTGCGACACCGCACCCCATGCACGCCCTGCTCTTGCTCCCGCTCGTCCCTTCCCGTCTGCCCCCTCCCTTCGTCTCCCGAACAACTCGCGCACCCCCCCCCCCCCCCCCCCCCCCCCCCCCCCCCCCCCCCCCCCCCCCCCCCCCCCCCCCCCCCCCCCCCCCCCCCCCCCCCGGCAGCAAAATCCAAAGGCACACCATGCCGGCGGAGCCGCCCTCCCGGCGCCCCCCGCCGGTTCGTGTCCGTCATGTCCGGCGGGCTTTCCTCCTCCTGGCGATGGCCTGCCTCTGGGTATTGCTGCCGGGTGCGGCCGCAGCCCCTCCCGGGTTGGACGCCCTGCTGTCGGGTCTCACGGCGGCCAGCGTGGCCGGCATGTCCCGGCCCGAGGCCGACGCCATGGCCCTGGCCCTGCGGGCCGCCGGCGGCGACCAGCGCATGGTCCTGGCCCTGTACTATGGGCTGCACTTCAACTGGGACGCCGGTCGCCGGGTCGATGCCCTGGCCGGGCCGCCGGTCTGCCCGGCCTCCTGCCCGGGCAATTGCGACCAGTACGGCTGCATCAGCTGCCCCCACGGCATGGGGATGGCCTTCGGCGGCGAGGGCACACTCTGCACCCAGAGCACGGAGCTGTGCCAGCTCCAGATGATCCCCCCTGATGAGGGGGCTCCGGTGGACCCGGACGCCGATGGCGCCATCGGCATCTTCTGCCCGCCCGGCTGCATGGTCTATGACAGCTCCTCTCGTCGATGCATCCAGTGCTATGATGGGTATTCCCAGATCGGCGACCTCTGCGTCCAGTGCCCTTGGGAATGCCAGGTGTGCTACAGCGAGATGATATGCTCCTCTTGCCACACCGGCTTCTATCTGGAGGGTGGCT